TTATTTGTCTCCATAAGTAGTTGCACAAAACCTTTGAAGTTATCTTGTTGTTGGCTCAACAGTGCGGTGTACATCTGCTTCTGCTGACTCAACATCTCTGTTACTTGCACCACTGAAATATAATCCTCTTCTGCGTCAACATCCTCATTTGCATCTGATTTATTAGCTCTTTTCCCTCTTGGAGGCATTTTAATAGTTGTAGAATTTGTTCAAAGACTTGAAAATGTAGAAGATGTGAAAAATCGTAGAACAGACAAGAGGAGCAGTAAAGACGTCTGATTGCACAGAAAAAAGAGTTTAAAAACTGAGACTCATTCACTTTCAACTGGGGGCTACAGTGTTGTCTGCAGTGCTGCAAAGTTAGTGAGCACTTGGGTACAATTTTGAGGTATGTGCAAGATTTCTCTTGCAGTGGAGTACTTTTACAATGAATGCAGGACTATACACTGTATAGCTGTATGTACTGTAGCTTTTATTTAATTAAATAAAAGATCTGAATTCTTTTTTCGCCACTGGCCATGATAATTTGACGTTGATTTTTCTGAAAAGAGACCCTGGTTATCAATAAGAAATTAGATTGAAGGAGACTTGTTGAAGCTATGAGAAATAATTACACAAAGCAGCACATTAATCTCACCCATGTGTGAAAAGAATGAATCAAAGCAACCAGTTCAGTGAAAATCAGACAGTGAATAATCTGATGGTGATAGCCTAGTTAGCACAAGTAATTTAGAAAGAACCACCTCAGTAGTCCTGGACAAAGTCATAATGACATTTGCTATTACAAACCTCAGGCTTCTTCACCCATGCTAATGAAATCTGTGGAGGTGTGTGCCATCAGAGATCCCATTAGCTGATAGGACTGATGGAGCTTGAAGAATGAGAAGATACATACAGTATTATTTTCACCTAAATCAGATATCCTACACAGAAAATGAATTTCCCAGCAGGTGAAGAATAAACACAGACTGTCATTTAATGTAAGGACACTATTCACACGTGCCATATAAAGGCATGTTGTTACCTACATGGGATTATAAGACATTCCTACTTGTGAATGGAAACATTATGATGACCAATCTGAATAAAACAAATCACCAACATCAGTCACTGTGAGCACAGGGTGAAACCAAGGCAGTCGATATGACCCTGCTGGAAATAGATAATGAATAGGCTAAATTGAATTACAGCATAATCACAGCACAATGCCCACACAGCCACAGATGGATCCCACAGGTGAGAAGCCTTGATAGGGAAAGGTCTGTAATAATGTAATCAGCTGAGAGTGGTTGTGTGTGATTTCAAGGCTCTTGTTAAGCTTCCCAAATCCTTCAAATCTACTATGTTAAGGTGTGGAAGCTTATAAGATGATCTATAATACTGTCATACTGGGAGTACCTGAAAAGCATATGTTTTATTTTCACTAAATCCCTAAAACCACCCAGAATGAGGATATGGCGTATGTGAATGCCGCTGTAAAGCCCTGGTCTGTAAGACAATCCCATGCTTGGGAGAATAAAATGGGATGAAATATTAATGCACTCTTCCATCCATCCATCCATTTCCCTCCGCTTATCCGGAACCGGGTCGCGGGGGCAGCAGTCTAAGTAAAGATGACTTCCCTCTCTCCAGACACTTCCTCCAGCTCCTCCGAGGCGTTCCCAGGCCAGCCAAGAGACATAGTCCCTCCAGCGTGTCCTGGGTCTTCCCCAGGGCCTTGTTCTGGTGGGACATTCTCAGAACACCTCCCTAGGAAGGCGCCCAGGAGGCATCCGAAACAGATGCCCGAGCCACCTCAGCTGGCTCCTCTCGATGTGGAGGAGCAGCGGTTCTACTCTGAGCTCCTCCCGGGTGACCAAGCTCCTCACCCTATCTCTCAGGGTGCCCCCGGCCGCCCTGCGGAGGAAGCTCATTTCAGCCGCCTATATCTGGGATCTTGTCCTTTCGGTCATGACCCAAAGCTCATGACCATAGGTGAGAGTCGGAACGTAGATCGACCAGTAAATTGAGAGCTTCACCTTACAGCTCAGCTCCTTCTGCCAGTCAATCTCCCGTTCCATCCTTCTCTCACTCGTGAACAAGACCCCAAGATACTTGAACTCCTCCACTTGAGGCAGGAACTCTTCACCAGCCTGAAGGGAACAAGCCACCCTTTTCCGACTGAGAACCATGGCCTCGGACTTGGAGGTGCTGATTCTCATCCCAGCTGCTTCACACTCGGCTGCAAACCGCCCCAGTGCACGCTGGAGGTCCTGGGTTAATGCACTCTTAGGGAGTAAAAATTTGCAAGAGAAATATCCTGTTTAGGAGTAAACAGTTCCAGTGCAGCCTGGAGCCTGTGGTTATATTTCTAAACAAGTATTGCAGTGCAATACAGTAAATATTCTTCCAGTGATCAGAACTGAAAGTTAGTGGCTTTTCTATGACCAGCAACATAAATTTGCAGCTTATACAACACAAGACCATTTACAGGACACAAAGTAAAATGTTCAAAATGGGTTTCACTGACACAGACATCTGCTCACAATGCACTCTAGGTTCCACCAACAGTTACTTTCATGCTACTTGGACCTGCCAACCAGTTCATTCCCTCTGGATAGCAGTGACAGAGAAACTGTCCACCATCTTGGGCTGTAGAATCCCTCCTTCTCCATCACTTTGCTTACTCGGTAATATCACAGAAATCGACCACTTACCAATTAAATACAAAAACCCACTCCTCATTTCTCTAGCTATTGCCAAGAAAACAATCTTTCAAAATTGGAAATAAAAAACCCCCCATTACACTGGACCAACCTTCTGACAGAATACATCACATTAGAGAAAATGGAATCCACTCACAAGAATAGTTTATCTGCTTTTTATGACACATGGAACCATTTTTAACACATTTCAACTTGAACCAAAGACCTGGGGCTGAGGCTACGCACATTCCCACCAACCTCTAAAAATGTAACAAGCTGCTTTGATTAGTAGTATCTTATCATTATTATTGTTTCATTTTTCCTCCTTCTCCCTTTCTTGCCCTTCATAGACTGCATAAGTTGGAAATATCCACACTTCGCACCCTCACACACTACAATCATGTAAAACTCACCACATTTCTTTGTAATGTCATGTATCCGTTGTCTTATCTTCCATGTCCTGACTGTTTTGTTAATGTGTTGTTTTGTTTCAATAAAAATAAATCAATAAATAGAGTTAGTGGCTTAAACAGGGTATCTAGTAAATGACATCAGCAAGAAGAGTGACTGAAACAACCACAGTGGTACAGCCTGAGGGGGCAACAGCTGCTACTGAAGCTTCTCCTTCAGCAGTATAAAGTCGTTGTGCTGTAACCTTTATCATAGCTGCTTAAAGGTGTGTGTTGGACCTGGAAATAAGACAGATGTGTATTTTTCAGTTTTTCAAATAACGCAAACAAGAGTACACTAATGTTTTCCCAGTGCATAATCAATATATTAGCTTCTGGATATAATAAATACAACAATTTACTCACATCATCAACAATTTGCCCACCTCATACCCTCCTACAAGCCTGCTGACAAAGAGCTTACTATTGGCATACAACCTGAAGAATTCTCACCAGGCAGCTTTTGTCTGCAGCTGCTGTCACCTTCACCAGACACACTGGGATGGGTGAGACAAAACCCTCAGCAACTAATTGATAAAAGCAGGGGTGTTAATGATGTCACTGAATTAATAAGAGGAGATTCAGGTGCTGGAGATGGTGTTGGTGCTCAATGCTGAACACTCATACAGTTTATTCCTGGATTAAAGTCATAGTTTTCCATGTGCTCTGTAGGGAGGATTAGTAAATATCATTTCAAGTGAGAAACACTGGCCTAGTTTTAATGTCATGGGGTATTTGTATTGATCCACAACACGTGATAGTGAATGAATTTGATCAGTGACCACAGACCATCAATTGTAACATTTTATATGAACGTATTGGTCCTCAAACATCTTTACACACCTCTGCAAAAACAACAACACCACTGTCACTATAATGCTTTTGAGACATTCTCATAGGAGGCCTACGCAAACACTCTTAGTTTTGTTTTATTGCAATATTAACAGAGCGGCTACTATCACCTCTTATGATAGATTTTCTTTATTATAATTTTCTTTTGTGGAAGTGTCTGTGCCATACGCTTGAGATCTTATCATATGACTGTAATATATCTTCAAGTTTATCGTGTATCTAGCGCTAAATCCTTTGTTTTTCCAGTGACACTGTACTCTAAGTGTATCACACTTTATTTACACTTGATAGTGTCCTCTCCCTCTGTCTGGATGCTTTTCATGTGTTCGTTAGTTGACGACTCCCTCTCCTCCCGGAGCTGCGTCTCGCCCCTCAGCACCATAATGCTGAGATCACTTCAGGAGGGCGGTGCAGAGGGAGTGCTACGTGTTGCTGAGCAGCAACAGATAGAAAGCAAAGAGAGAGAGGAATTCCCTCACAAACAAAAGCAGCTGCAAGGGCGTGTATCAGTTCCTACGGTGCCCTGAATTCCCTGTAATAAATCAACCTGCAGCAGAAGGGAGTGTAAAATACGGTGGATGTATGATGTAAGGACAACAGCTACAACAAGCCTGAAGGATACCGCCAGTTTATTTCTGTCTGGAGGCATCATCACATTTGACAACGCGCCGAATTGGCTTGTCTTCTGCCGTGAGAATCAGCCTGACAGGGACGCGCCTGTCTGTAGTCCAGGGGACAGTCTCTGCCTTTAGGGCTACAAATTGCCCACAAACTGTAATATGTCATCACTGGAGTTGAAATGCAGTCTTCCTGTGTAGGACTCGGTGAAGTGGCATTGCTTTAAAGTAAGTTGTATGTGTCATTGTTTCAGTGAAGCCAAAGCTGAGAATCACTGCTCTTTAGGGACTGTATTTTTGAAAAAACACATTGTGTAACAAATGGACATCAGATCTGTCTTTAACATCTGTAACATTAATTCAAATTATAAAAGCTGCATATTGGCTGCAATTCAACATAGCTCCGTTATTTTCTTTCTCCCTTCTGTCTGGCTGTGCGTTTGTCTCCTTGTGCTATCTCATTCTGTCTGTATTTGTCTTTGTGTCACTGTGATTTGGTCTGTCATTCCTTTCTTTCTGTGCGCCGTGCGTCTACCTGTGTCACCATCTCCAGACATGACAGGTCAGATCCTGGGGGGGCTGGATGGCGACGCTCACATGGATGACAACGCCGCCATCCGCATCAACGTGGGCGGCTTCAAGAAACGTCTCCAGTCGGACACTCTCTCTCGGTTCCCCGAGACGAGGCTCGCGCGTCTACTCCAGTGTCAGTCCAAAGAGTCCATACTAGAGCTGTGCGACGACTACGACGATACAGAGAAAGAGTTTTATTTCGACAGAAATCCGACTCTCTTCCCCTATGTGTTGAATTTCTACAACACGGGGCGGCTGCACGTTATGGGAGAGCTGTGCATCTTCTCCTTCAGCCAGGAGATCGAATACTGGGGCATCAACGAGTTCTTCATTGACTCCTGCTGTAGCAGCGCCTACCACTGTAAGAAAATGGACCAGGGCCGGGAGGTCTGGGATGACCGGAGCGATGAAGGGAGTACCACTTCATCTTTTGACGAACTGTTGGAATTTTATAACGACGCCACCAAGTTCGACAAACAGCTGCTCGGGAGCGCAAGGAGGCGCGTCTGGTTAATGCTGGATAACCCCGGCTTTTCAGTGGCCAGCCGCATCATCAGCGTCCTTTCTATTTTGGTGGTGCTCGGCTCCATTGCCACTATGTGCATGAACAGCATGAGCGAGTTTAGCTTGATGGACAGTGAGGGGCAACCCACAGAGGACCCTCGGTTTGAGACTGTGGAGCACTTTGGCATCGGCTGGTTCACCCTGGAGCTAGTCGCTAGATTTCTAGTTGCACCAGACCTTCTGCGTTTCTTTGAGCACCCGTTAAACGTGATAGACCTGGTGTCCATACTTCCCTTTTACCTGACACTCCTTATAAATCTGGTGATAGAAAGCAGCCCGGCGCTGGCGAACCTGGGACGTGTGGCGCAGGTACTGAGACTGATGAGGATTTTCCGCATCCTGAAGCTGGCTCGTCACTCTACAGGGCTGCGTTCCCTGGGGGCCACCCTCAGGAACAGCTACAAAGAAGTGGGTCTGCTGCTTCTCTACCTGGCCGTCGGGGTGTCGTTTTTCTCGGTTATAGCCTACACGGTGGAGAAAGAGGACAGCGAGGACCTCTCCACCATCCCGGCGTGCTGGTGGTGGGCCACAGTCAGCATGACCACGGTTGGATACGGAGACGTGGTTCCCGTGTCCATAGCGGGCAGGCTGACCGCTTCAGCGTGTATCCTGGCAGGGATTTTAGTAGTCGTGCTTCCGATTACGCTCATTTTCAATAAATTCTCCCTGTTCTACAAGAGACAAAAACAGCTGGAGATCGCAATGAGAAGCTGTGATTTCGACGAGGGGATAAAAGAGGTGCCTTCTGTCAACCTGAGGAACTATTACGCACACAAAGTCAAATCCCTCATGGCGAGCTTATCAAACATGAGTCGGAGTTCACCCAGTGAACACAGTCTGAGTGAATCAATACAGTGAGACAGTTTTCTGGAGGTCACACGGTCCAGCTGGGTGACACTATGTGTGGCTGCATGAAGAGCTGTCCAGGGTGCTGAAACCCTTGAACCAAAAGCTCACTACTTTGTCTCACTGTTTTCCGTCTCAGTAGCTCAGTGCAATAGTGTGTTAATCTATATGTCAGTCACAATGAGAAAGCAAGCTAATGTACAGTACAGTCTGAATATAAAATTTCACCATGCGTGACTAAGGCCCTTTATCAAATAGGCCAAATAATATTTGACCACATCAGATTAAAAAGACAGAATGTCCATGTTGTTTACAGTCCTAGATGGTGTCACACTGTTTTCCACCCTCCTGCTATACCTGTTGTGCTCAAATATGTCTCAAAGTAGCTCCAGACATATTGTTCTT